CCATTCCTGATGTGGACTCAGCATCGGCGGAGGGCTTCAACAGAACACGGAGTGTTACAAACACTCCACCTGCCATGACACAATAGGCAGGAAATAAACTGAACAAAATCAAAGCCGGGGGTGGGGGGGGAGGCGAGGAGCCGTGGAGAAGGGGACCCGCCCCTTGGATGGCTTGTACGCCAGCTCTCTGCATGCTTGCAGCGCCAAGCATCCCATTTCGGGATCAGAAAAGTAGGGAAAGATCCCCAGCTCATTTTGTGGGATCATCACCACCCTCATCTCCAGACCAGCTAGGCCAGTAAAGGGAGGCAAAGTGACAAGAGCCGTCCTCCGTCACAAACACACGCATACACACACCAAGCCCGATTGTGCACTTTGAGCAGTTTGGTCAGTTCCTTACGAAGCTGTGACTTTAATGCAGTTTTAATGAAATGTCATTTTATCACGGCCCTTGAAAATCCGATGGCTGCGCCCCGATGGAAGAGTGGCAGTAACGGGCAGTTCCTGACGGTCAGAGGAAATGGAAGCGATATGGAAGTTCATTTCTGTCGCACAGAAAGGTCCCACGGCAGGTGGGTCGTCCAGAATCCGTCCTCCTGCCTCATCGAGGGGGGTGTCTCCTGTCCTCGAGGGCCCACAGTGCCCACCAGATCCCCGGCGCTTGGTCCGGGTTCCCACAGCGAGAGGGAAGCCAGCCCGGCCTGCCTTCCGTCCACACTGCCGGCTGCGGGCCCGGGCTCATTGGACAGCTGCGTTCCATCATCCAGAGCCCCGTCCAGGGCCGCGTCTCGCTGCGCAGGAAGCTGGGGCTAGCGGGCTGGCCTGTGACCTTCTGAAACAGGATGGAGGGAAGGGAGGGGGCCTGCCCCTGCAGCCTCCGCTGTGCTCGGCAGACACTCCTGGAAGGAGGCACGCGGGCCCGTTACTCAGCACACACAAGCACGTTCCAGGTAGATTGAGGAGCCGAATGTGAAGAGTGACTCCCGGCAACCTCCACTTAAGCAGGCTCCCCAGTCAAGGCATAGAAAGCCCGAATTAGAAAGAAAAATACAAATAAATTTGACTAAATTAGAAATCTAAAACTTATTTACCGAAACCCCCTTAGGTGTAGAGGAAAGAAAAGCCACATCCTGGGAGGTGAGAACCCAGCTGGTAAAGCCGGTTCCTGCAGCTCAGTGATGCGGAGGCACTGACTGGGGGTCTAGAGATGGGGGTCGCACGCGGGAGCGTAAGTCAGCTCAGGGACAGGAACCCTCAGGACCTGCACCTGCCCCTGCACGCTGGGTCCTCATCGTCTGCGGGGAAAGCAGACACCGTGGGGACAGCTCCCACACCTGTGGGGGGCTCCCGCAGATACTTCTCCAGGACTCTGCGGTGCCTCCGGAGCTCACAGACCCTGCAGGGTAAGGGCTCGCCGCACAGGACTGCCCCCCCACAGACGCCAGTCACCAGAATCAGGCCCACATTCCGTCTGACTCGCCTACACGTCGGGTTTCCAGGAGCCCTCTCTGGTATAATTTGCTAATACAGCTCGCAGAACCCACTTACCAGCTTATTAGAACAGAACGGGGGACAGCCAGGTGGAGAGGGGCCCGGAGAAGGGCCTGGGCGTGGAGCACCCCCGCCCGCCGTCTAGACACACCCCCGTCCAGCACCTGGCTGTGTTCACTGGCCTGAGAGCTGCCGAGCCCCTCTGCGCGGCCCTGTGCGGGTTTCCGTTACTGGCTGTCACCCTGGGTCAGGGCTGATGAACCCACCCTCTGGCCGCCCCCGAAGTGGGGGTGGGATTGGGGGTTGGCCCGAGTGGTCCAGCCCTCTAGTCCCCAGGCCAACCCCCATCCTCCTCGAGTCGCCTCCATAGCAGAAGCTCAGGGATGCGTGGACAGGGATTGTTACTCAGGTCTCACCAGCACGGGGCTGAGGGCTAGAAAGGTCGTCCAGGAATGCCTTGGTGGCCGGGTGCTGCCCGCTGCCTGCAGTCCTGTCCCTGCCCCGAGGGCATGAGCACGACCCGGTGGCCCCTCTGGGAGGCGCAGCTGACCTGTGTCCCTTACAGGCTTCTCTGTCGGACAGACGGATGGCCGAGCACAGCGTCGGGGCTGTGGGCAGGCGGAGGGGTGAGGGCCGCAGGGGGCCGGGCGTGGGGAGGGAGGGGCAGCGCGGCAGGAGGGTCACCCGGTGCCGTCCGTCTGTCTGGTGGGAGCCGGGAGGAGAGTGTCGCCACGGGGACTCATGGTGAGTCCTGTCCAGGAGCGGGGGTCTCGGTTCTTTTTTTTTTTTTTTAAGATTTTATTTATTTATTCATGAGAAACAGAGAGAGAGAGAGAGAGGGGCAGAGACACAGGAGGAGGGAGAAGCAGGCTCCATGCAGGGAGCCCAACATGGGACTCAATCCCAGGTCTCCAGGATCGTGCCCTGGGCCGAAGTCGGCGCTAAACCACTGAGCACCCCACCCCCCCACCCCCCCCAGGGCTGCCCGGGGTCTGGGTTCTGATGACCGGGCCGCTCCCTCAGCTCTCCTGTCTTCCTGTGCACAGGGTCAGGCAGCAGGGGGTTGGGGGGGAGGGGGGCCTGGAGGCCCTGGGTGGGCGCAGCGAAGCTGCTTGGGAGGAGGGAGAGAGAGGTGGAGCACCTCGGCACGTGCGCCGTTCTGACCCGTGTCTCCCAGCGCCCGCAGCCGACCCTGCGCCCTCACGTGGGGTGGACTGGGCAGCAGGTGGAGGTGAGCGTGCACACCCGGCTCACGTCGAGTCACTCTGCTGCCTTTGCAGGGGCTTGCTCGGGATGTGGGCTGCAGGACGCTGGCTGCACCCCCTCACCCCAGCCCTCCCTGAGCCCGGGCAGCAGAGCTGCGTGCGGCTCCGTCCCCCCAGGGCCTCGGCAGAGCGTCAGGGCCCCAGAGGTCTTTCACGAAGCATGTGTGCAGGGTTAATGAAGCGTCACCAGCACGGGTTCTGTGAGATCACTGTTCAGACGTTTGCCCTGGGAGGCTGGGCTCCCCTAGAGATGGTCTAAAGCCCTATACAGGCTTGAATTTACATAAGAAGGGGGGCCCTGTGGTGTTCGTGAGCATTGAGCCATTTCATGCTTTTTCTTGTGAGAGAGGAAAACCTGTGTTTGAACGTCCTTCTTGGGGGGGGGGAGCTTGCAGGGTGAGGGGAGATAGGGAGGTGGGGGGGAGGAGGGCACCTGGGCATGGGTGGGACGGCCCCACCCAGGGACTTTCTGCAGACACAGAGGTGGGGGTGCGGTGCCAGGCTGCTGGGCCTGGGAGGAGTGGCCGGAAGCCCCCTTGCCTCTGGTGGCCCCAGCGGGAGGGGGATGGTGGGGAGGAGGGGTCAGGCCAGCCGCCCGGAGGGGCCCTCGCAATGACCGTGTTTTCTAGGGAGGAGACGGGAGTGTTGGAGGGTTTGTGCACTGGGGCATCCTGGCCTGTTTCCCAGGGGCCTGCAGCCGCCCCCCAGGGATGGGCCATGGGGGTGGGAGGCTGCGATGAGCGGCGGTCAGCAGGGCCGTGGCCTGGAGCTGCCTCCTGGGGACCCACTGGACACTGCCCTCCGACCCCTTCCACGAGGGTCGAGGGGCCGCTGGACGCGGGCGCAGAGTGCAAACACAGGTGCAGCCAAGGTGGACCTCGTGGCCCTGCGGTGAGAGCAGAGCACAGGGCCACGGAGGGGCTCTGCACCCCAGCCCCACGTCCTGGCCAGACCCTGCAGCCCCCAAACCCAAGCCCAGGGTGTTCCTAATGACGAAGTTTAGGAGTACGGGTGAGGCCCGGAGTCGACGGCCAAGAAAGGATTCTGGAGACGTCTTTGGTGCAGAGTGGGGGGTTTATGGAAGGCCGGGACGACCCGTGGGCAGGAAGAGCGGGCGGCCTGGGGCCTCTGAGGGGAGGCGGGTTACACACCAGGGAGTCGGGAGGTGAGCAAAAGGGAGATTTCCAAGGGTCGTCATCTGCTAAGGACCTAGATGCGGGAGGCCTTGCCATTGTCACATTAAAGATTGCGTTTCCCTCTGGCGGGAGGTATTAACATAAAGACAATTGGAAACTTCCTGAAGAATGTCACACATCCCACCCTGGGGGGGTCGTTTCTGGGTTATCAGCTGTGCTTGCTCCTCAGCTGCCCGTGCTCCCCATCACTAAGGTGGGAGGGCTCTGCACCCCAGCCCAGGGCCTGACGGGGCCCCACCTGGGGCTGAGCATCTGTCGTCCTCAGGAGCCTGGTCTTTCCTGTTTCTTGGAATCCTGCTCCCCTACCCCTCGCCCCGTTTGCCTTCTGACTGCTCCGTCCAGCGGCCTGGGCCCAGGAGCACATGATCATGGTGCCCAGGCCCTTGGGCTCCCTCAGCGGTCCTCCCGGCACAGCGCCCTGACCCTCCCCTCCCTGCCGAGCCTGCCTCACCCCGTCAAACCAGGCTCTGCTGAGATCGCCCCCCCCCCCAGCAGGAAGCCACCAGTTTGGGGTTTTCAAGGTCTCCTTTGTGGTTATTTTTTTTTTATAAATTTTTATTTATTTACGATAGTCACAGAGAGACAGAGAGAGAGAGAGAGGCAGAGACACAGGCAGAGGGAGGAGCAGGCTCCATGCACCGGGAGCCCGACGTGGGATTCGATCCCGGGTCTCCAGGATCGCGCCCTGGGCCAAAGGCAGGCGCCAAACCGCTGCGCCACCCAGGGATCCCATCCTTTGTGGTTGTTTTTATTGGAAGTGATAAAAATGTACTTTCTCTTTGGAGTCTCGTCCCAAGAAACGTGGCTCTCCCACCGTCTCCGCGCGGAGCCTCAGGGTTGTGCGGGGGGAGGGAGGACGGCGAGAGACGGGCACGGCCTAGCATGATGGTTGAGTAGCCTTTCCTCTGTGTGCGTCTTCCTCATTGTTGACCTTTGTACCCACGAAAGGGCGTCCGGGTGCCAGGCAGCTGTGGGTCGCGCTGGGTCGGCGCCACACCTGACCCGGACGCGCCCTCTCCACTCAAGACCGTGTTCCCTCTGCCTCCAGGTGGAACGTGGTGGGCGTGCAGGGGTCCCTGCTCAGCATCTTCGTGGAGCCCATCTACTTCTCGAGCATCATCCTGGGCAGCCTGTACCACGGGGACCACCTCTCCAGGGCCATGTACCAGCGGATCTCAAACATCGAAGACCTGCCCCCCCTCTACACCCTCAACAAGCCTCTGCTCAGCGGCAAGTACCCCTGCAGTGTGGTCGTTCCCCTGTTCAGACCAGCCTGTTTGCCCGTACGAGTCCCATAAATGGGAGCAGCACAGGGACGCTGCTCGGGCTGTCAGAGACGCCCGGGCCCCTCAAAGAGGGCGGAAGGCGATGTTTTAGGGCCTCCTACAATTCCTCTTTTGAGTGATTGAAAACGTTGCCTCTTATAGATGCGTGACAGCCCCTGCGTGTCGTGGCCCCTGCGTGTTTTCCTTTCACTTGTATGCGTGTCTCCAAGGCCTGTCTCAGTGGGAGACACGACAGGTGTCACGAAAAGTACGCAGGTGTCAGCTGTCCAAGGTTAAGTGGGGCTGGGACGCCCGGGGCCGCGTCCTCTCGGTGCCGAGCTGCCACCCGCAGAGGGAGCCCCGCGCCCAGCCGGCTCTCGGGAGGTGGGCGCGGGCGCGGGTGCACCCGGGATGGGTCCGTGCTGTGTCGGCGGTGCCTCGCACCTGCCGCGAGTGCCCATGGTCACGGCTCTGTTTGCTGTGTTCCCGTAGCGCCTCAGTGGTGACCGGTAAGGGCCGCAAGAACTCTTGAACGCAGGGGCCCTAACTTCTCGGTTCGCCCCCCTTTAAAGGACACGGTGAAGGTATTCTTAACCCTTTTGAAAAAGATCTCATTCTACTTACTTTTTTTTAAAGCTCAGAACTAAACCCATAATCCCAAACTAAAACGCGGTTTTCCGTGGTGTGTGCGTGCACGCTGCCGTGTTCGTGGTGCTTGGCTGCTAGCTCGCCTTCAGCGGCAGGAGAGCCGGGTGGCGTTTTAGTTGAAGGCGTGGCTCCTAGAGCACAGAGGCCTGCAGAAAAGGGAAAACCGGTGCTTGTGTCTGATCACACCTTGCAGCTCCCTAACGTTAATCTTTTGAGAAAAAATACTGACTGCGCTAAAACTTGGTAGCGAGTGATGGCAGCCGAGCGCCCGCGTGCGTTGACCGTCGGCTGCAAGGTAGGAGGTAAGCGTAAGTATCCTGTTGTGTGTTGGAACACGAGCTTCCCACGATGCAGAAGTAGCTTTCCGTGGCTGCCGTGGTCGGCGTGGGAGGCTGTTTCATTCCGGCCGTGACTTGTCTCTGCCGCCCAGGGCACCAGACAGGTGCCCAGAGGGAGTCGTCCACCAGCGCCCCGCTGGCTAGTATCGCGTCCAGGGCCCACCCGTGCAAAGACGGGTCGTTTTGCCGAGGGAATGTTCGAAGGTGTTGAAAGGAGAGCTCATTTATAAAATATCCCAGCACCTGTATGAAGCGCGTATGCGCCCGTGAAAAGGTGTTGGGGGATCCCTGGGTGGCGCAGCGGTTTGGCGCCCGCCTTTGGCCCAGGGCGCGATCCTGGAGACCCGGGATCGAATCCCACGTCGGGCTCCCGGTGCGTGGAGCCTGCTTCTCCCTCTGCCTATGTCTCTGCGCCTCTCTCTCTCTCTGTGACTATCATAAATGAATAAAAATTAAAAAAAAAAAAAAAAAGAAAAGAAAAGGTGTTGGAAACGGCGTCCGCAGGATAGACCCCGAAGCAACCCCGGGTGCGTGTGCCACAGAGACCACGTGTGTAACAAAGGAGCAGAGTCCACTCTTCCTTCTCCCGTCCCCGGCATCACTCCCACTCCCACACCCTGAAGCACACAACCGTGCGGCCTTGGTGGACACGTGCCCCTGGGCGCGGAGGGTCTGCAGGGAGCTGGGGTGACCTTACGGTCTCTCTGCCCCTGGCACCTTTCGCAGCCCGGGTTCCTGGTCTTTCCGGGCCGGGACCCTGCACAGTCCTCCTGGACACGTGCGCAGGACGTCTGTGAAAGACAGGGACAGCGCTGGGGCTTCGGGGCGCACGGTATTTCTCCACCGCTGAGCCACTGCACAGCGTCACTCTGCCGTCAGAGCCCGTTCCACCGTTTGAGGTCTTTTACTTTGGATCGTGCTTTATTTTGGAGACCGTGGCGGTGTTTTTCCTCGGAGACGGTCCCAGTCTGTGCAGCAAGCAGCTCTGGGGAAGATGTCTTCAGTCTGTGGGGTCCCGTGTGGTCGGCAGGGGCGGCGCAGCAGCACGCTGGGGCGGGGGCATGGATGCCCCTCGGGCAGGGAACCGGCACAAAGTCCCTGCCTGGTCTAGGGCGGGTGCTGGAGTGGGTGCTGTCACGGCCAGAAGGCCTCACGCAGGGGAGCCTGGAACATTGGGGAAGTCACGCCCCTTTGCAGTGGGCCCCACAGCAAAGCCCTGAAAACTTTGTTACAGGGAAGTCTTAATTTATTTATTTTTTTTTAATTTTTATTTATTTATGACAGTCACACAGATAGAGAGAGGCAGAGACACAAGCAGAGGGAGAAGCAGGCTCCATGCACCGGGAGCCCGACGTGGGATTCGATCCCGGGCCTCCAGGATCGCGCCCTGGGCCAAAGGCGGGCGCTAAACCGCTGCGCCACCCAGGGATCCCCTATTTATTATTTTTTAAGATTTTATTTATTTATTCATGAGAGGCAGAGACACAGGCAGAGGGAGGAGCAGGCTCCATGCAGGGAGCCCGACGCGGGACTCGATTCCAGGACCCCCGGGTCACACCCTGAGCTGAAGGCAGATGCTCAACCACTGGGCCACCCGGGCATCCCAAGTCTTACGTTTAACGAGTGACGTGCACAGTGGCACAAGCAGGGCACTCGGGGTTGTTTCCTCCCGGTCAGGTGCACACGTGCATGTGTATTAACAACGGTTCATGGCTGTCTGTCCTGCCCTTTCAGCTCCCGTTGTATCACAGATCCTTCCCGCGTGAAGGGTGGCGTGGCAGTCCCGTGGTCTGTGGCGTCCTCCGGGGGGACGGGGTGGCCGCCAGTGCAGTGCGGGGCACAGCCCACTAGGCGAAGACCCACTACCTGATCCAGAGTGGATCCAGGTGGACGGCAACGAAAGACGGAGCACGGGCGGCTTCTTAGTGCCACCAGGGCCAGATGAGCACGTGCTTCTCCCTCCAGCAGAGAAAGGAGATCTTTCCGAGAAGGCAGCAGTTCCCAGGAGGGAGCTGCCACTGTGGGGCCCTGAGCACGCATGTGGCGTCCTGCCCTGGCGTGTCGGACGTGGAAGCCTCTTGGACTCTCCTGTCTTCTTTCCAGATTAGTTTCACCCCTGGGACCTGCCAGCTTCGGAACAGCCCCGGCTTTCGATGTGAGTCCGTCGGCCTCTGAGTCTGCCCTGCTCCGCCGGCCGGGCTGCCGTCCAGGTGCACGGAGAGAACTGAGGATGAGAGGCCGGCGGTCTGAGGCTCCCCAGGGCGCCGGGGCCACGGCCGGCTGCCCCCCCAGCGTGGACATGGAGCGTGACATCCAGGGCAGCACTGAGGGAGCCAGTGGGTTCTCGTGAACCTGTCAGCGCGGGGCCTCTGGGAAGGCAGGGCTGAGTGCGTGGCAGAGAGAACGCGGAGGCGCTGCTGGCCTGCCAGGCGAGAAGCGTGTGCCTTGAGCTCGTGGAAAGCCACGTACCCGCTTATTGTGGCCGGAGGAGCTGCCGTCTGCCTCTTGCCGCCAGCACAGGAGAGAGGGCAGGGGTGAGGGCGGCTGGCGGGGAGCGTGTGTTTCCCAGGTGGGAGCTCAGCACCCCTGACGGCAGGAACGGGGACGGTGACGACAGGTCGTGGTGGGAGCCCGCCCAGAGGCCCTGAAGGTGTCGTCTAAACCCTTAAGTTCCCATGGACATGGTTTGCTTGTTGCTTTTTTTAAGAAATTTTGTGGGGGTCGTTAGTCGTAAAGTGGTTACTTAATTGACATCTTCAAAGATTTTTCAGAAATATCAGTCGTTACACTTGATTCAAACCATGTCGTGGGGCAGCTACACACTCCCTGCTGCCACCTGTCAGGGTGCAACAAGTGCAACAGACCCTGCAGGGCTCGGAGAGCCGCACGGAACAGGGACGTCGGCGCCGGGCCTCCTCCTGGGCCTGCTGGCCTGGGCGCGTCCCCACCCTGCCTGGCCCCGTCCCTCCTGCGCCCAAAGTCAGAGTGCCTTCTCCCGTCGGCCCCGCGGCCTGCTGGCGGGCTGGAAACGTTAGCCCTGCGTGGCCTCGGGAACCCAGGGTCTGCGTGACAGGCCCTCCTCCAGGCCAGGCCGCCGGCCTCGCTCGTCACTCTGGACTCGAGCGCTCAGGCTCTTCCCGGCACTCAAAGTCGAGTCCCAAGAAGGGAGTCTTGTTTGGCCAGAGGCCCTGGTGTGAAGCCACCTGGTGGGGTCGGTGGTGGCCCAGGAAGACGAGACGGGGCCCGGGCCAGGAGAGCCCGAGACCTGCTGCCCCGCTGGCTTCATCCACTTCCCTGTCAGCTCGAGAATCGTCGTCTTTAACGAAAGCCAGAATGAAAGTCTCACGCGGGGGGCTCTGCTCCTGGCTTAGATGGCAGGTCGTTTCACAGCCTTTTGGGTCCTCGGGTCTGCAGACAGAGAGGCCTAGACCCACGTGTCGTCGCTGCTGGGGCCACTCCTACCCAGGTCTTAGATTATTTGCACAACAGAGGTCGCCTCCACCGAGATGGTTAACTACTCGTTTTCCTGGTCAACTGAAAGTGGCCGATGGTTTCTGTAACGGGACCCCGTGGTGACCCTGTGGATCTCTTACCATCACTATGCCCATAATTCACTTTTGATTACCCATTAGCATGTGAGAGACCACAGGAAATACTTTTAACAAGGGAAATAAACAGTGTTGGGCGTTGTTCACTTGTGTCCGTTATCAGGCCAACTCACAGTTTGTAGTTTTGCTCTGAAAGCTCTGGTTCGACACACGTCATTTACAGCAGCTGAGGGACGTTCATTACCAGCCAGGCTGCACCTGCTGTTCTGCGCCACAGCCTGTGATCGACTCATTACCCTAGTTCTCGCCTGTGGCCCCAGAAAGAGAAGCTCCGCATGGGTGTCCATCCCCACGGTGGTGTCGGCCCCCGGGGACTCATAGACATGCGCTCTCGTGACCATTTGGGGGGCTTTCTGCCCCAGAAAAAGCAT